CCCCAATCTACCTCGTTTTCCACCTGCCCCTACTCCCCCCTCCCCCCCTCCCGATCCCGACCCACTTAGATTCCCTCCGAACCTGATGCGAGCCCATCCCGACTTCTACCCGATCCGACTTCAACCCCCTCTGAACCCGATCCCAACCAATCCCGACTTATACCCGACCCAAGTCGATTCCGACACACCACGACTCCCAACCACTCCCACCTCACCACCGACCCCGAACCTTTGCGACTCCAATCTACCTCGACTCTCACCCGCCCTTACCTCCCTTTCGATTCACCCCACTTCGACTCCCCCCTGAACCCGATCCCAGCCCATCCCGACTCCTATCCGATCCCACTTCAAACCCACTCCCAACCGATCCCAATCCATTTCGATCCCGGCGCATCTCAACTCCCATCCGCTCCTACCTCGCCCCCGGCCCTGACCTGCCGCGACCTCAATCTACCTCAATTCCCACCCGCACTTACTTCCCCACCCGATCCCGGCCCACTTCATTCCCCACCGAACCTGATCCCAACCCATCCCAACTCCAACCCAATCCCATTTCAATCCCCTCCGAACCCAATCCCAACCGATCCCGACCTTTACCCAACCCAACCCACCTCGACCCCGACATATTCGACTCCCACCCGCTCGCACCTCGCCCCCGACACCGACCCGCCGCAACCCCAATCTACCTCGTTTTCCACCTGCCCTACTCCCCCCTCCGCTCCCCCCGATCTCGACCCACTTAGATTCCCTCCGAACCCGATCCCAGCCCATCCCGACTTCTACCCGTTCCTACTCCCCCTCTGAACCCGATCCCAACCAATCCCGACTTCTACCCAACCCAAGTCGATTCCGACACACCTTGACTTCCAACCACTCCCACCTCGCCACCGACCCCAAACCTCCGCGACCCCAATCTACCTCGACTCTCACCCGCCCTTACCTCCCTTTCGATTCCCCCCGAACCCGATCCCGGCCCACCCCGACTTATACCCGACCCCACTACAAACCCAACTGATATTGACCCCAATCCACCCCAACGCACACTTAATCGCACTCCCTACACCTGTTGACTCCCCCCCGACCC